CGCAGACAACAACTACAGCTCCGCCGTCGACGACAGCTCCTCAGTTGAACAAGTACACCGCCGCATCTAGTAACTGCCGCATCTTCAGCAACTACAACCCGGTAACCAGGATCTACTCATACTCCACCGACCACAACTCGACCGTCAGCATCTACCATCTATTAGCGCTACCGCCAACAAGAATTGCAACACTTCAAGCCACTACGGCTCCATTATTCGGCGACAGGCCAGCCTTCTTCAGCGACAGCAGCGCTGTCACGAGCTACTACACCGGATACGCCTACACCCTTTCGAGAGCACCCGCGATTGTCAGTATGTATACTCTCGTAAATCCATCAGCGTTGATGTATCACTCCAGTCGACGTCTAAACAATATTTAAACAGTAAATGGTTAGATTGTTGTACTTCATTAAAAAGTAAAATCATGTAGACATCATGATTTCAAATAATAAAATATATAATACTTTGAAGTGTATTATATAATACGATTGAAGATTCACGCTGCGTATCATCTTATTGTATGCTCTAATTTAAGTATGGTGAATTACGGGAGTTTGTTACAGGAGCCTCTGTTAAGACAAAATAAATCCCAACGAAAGTCGGTCGCTTGTTCTACTTTGATCGTCACCATATAGTGACGGGGCTTCGGCAGTCGCCACCGGAGGCAAAGGCACCAGCCTTGCTATCAATTGGTCGTTTGCTTCGTCACTCTCGTTTGCATGCCGCCGACATGTGCGCTTGTTGTGGCCAACTTCACTGCAGTTCTTGCATCTGTACGTTGACTTTCTTGTATAAGAGTCTTCGCCAGCACTTGCTATTCTTCTTGTGATGCGTCGGCCAGCTTGTTTATAGTATGGTGACGGAAGCACAAGACTGGCCCCGTTATCGATATCTCGGACTGGCAATGACACGGCTTTCCCCCCGAAGGCGTCCCTACATGACGGAACTAGATAGCTCTTGTGAAAGGCCAGTTTTGAGGGTTCGCTGTCTCTTCGTTCCTGAAATGCTGCGATAATGTGGCGGCACGCGATCCGCAGTTGGTCGAAAGTAGTACAAGTACAAGACGGAGGATCCATTTGCACTTGAATAGCCCTAGAACTGCCAGTATACAAAACGTAGGACATTGAACTCGAAGACAGAACCACCAAATATTGCCCTGTTTTTTTGTTGTTGTTCCCAAAGTTTTTTTTTAGCGTACGGCGTCAAATCGCGATGGTCTTTTTGCCACTGCTCTAAGTTTCTGTTACGTTCCACCGACCACTGCAATCGAGTACAATGCATTGAACGGGGCAGATGTCCTAATACCATTATCCAGCATTGCGTTATTCTCACTTCAACAAAGTTCGAGGACCTCCACTCGAACAGAGGAAGAGCCCGCCACTCCTCGGAGTTGTAATTATCTGTCATCACACTATCAGCGTCCGATCCACTAAGCTTATTTCCAGATCCAGAGTTAGGAACGGGACGACCGTCGTTGCCATTAAGGTATTGTAGATAGGCAAGAATCGACGGTATACCAGCAAAAGACTTGATCAAATCTCCTGCCAAAACCTTTGCTATCTTGTCTTCCACACGATAAAACGTTGAACGTCGTCGTTGTAACTTGACAAGGTCGCCTGCTCGGACCAAGGCCACAACCGCTTTGCGCTTTAAAGACTTAGCACTCGTCACATCCGCAATCAGAGCAGGTAAACATGCCATTTGCCGCCCGTTCGGTTCGGCAACAGAGGGACAGAAGTCATTATG